TCTTGCTTATAGACTAATGCGCTTCTGTTACCCCAAAGAGTTTAGACGGAGTAATGACCTGTAAAGCTCTCATTGTTTTCCTGCACATTCAACTTGCTTTTCTGAATTTCTGAATTATTTTTTTTCATTATTCAAAAAGGCTGTTTATTCATATTGGACCAGTAAAGAAAGTTTCCATGATGAAGTACTCTGTTCATATGCATTCATCATCTGTATGGCTGGAATAACTCCAGACAAAACGATACTGTGGAGGAAGAGTTCTTGAAAATGTGAAACTGAGGTAGTCCACGCTGAAGTGTCATGGTTAGATGTATCCTTGCAGATGTCCACAGTACAACTAGGAGACATTCACTAGGCTTCCAATATCCTGTCTAGGCCTTTATTGGGCTGAATATAAATCCTGAGTGAGTTCTCTAGAGGAGTCTCTTTTGATTATTCCAGAGTCCTATCCAGGAGACAGTGGAAGAAAAAATACAGCCAAAGCTGTAGCGAATGACTTTGGGCTGCTACAACTGCCCAGTGCCTGCCTGGCCTGCTGTTTGAGTAGTAGCAGAGAGGAAAAGAAGATATATTGAGCATATTTGTCTTGTAGTGGCTGCCAACAAACCACTCATCAACCTTGGTATGGCTCTGGTTCTGTAAGGCTGATGAGAAAATGCTTGGACTGTCATGAGAAAACAGGGAATTGCAGGGTTCCTTCCTTGTAGTTCAGGAGAATCCCAAAAGCTTTTGCATAGCTGGGTGCACATGCTGATCCTCTTTATCAGCCTACTTGCTACACATGTCAGTGACCATATTTTTAAGTCTGTTAAATGTGTAATGATGCACAAGCTATTGCAATCTAATTGCAAAACCCCCAAACCACCAAAGTAAAACTCATATAATGCCTTATTTTACTTTCCAGCAGACAAAAGCAACATCTGCATTACTTCCCTACTTTTCATAAAGAGAAGTTTTCTGCAAGCTTTTGTCAACACCAGCAGTTCAATGGCTGACAGACATTTACGCAAGTAAGACCCATTCTGGGCTTACTCTCTACAAGCTTCCATTGTGTTTTCATTGATAAATGCACTTGCAATGGTCCTGCAGGTTCTCCCTGGAAGGGAGCAGAAATTGGTAACTTCTAAACAGGAGGTGAGAAGGTTATGTTCAAGCTACGTTGTGGTTGATTTCGGTGAGGTTTTTTTCACTAGTGCGTTAAAAGCAGACATTGGAGACCACTCAGGGATGGACTCGACCCGCGTGCTTGACTTGAGTGCTGGTGGCAGTAGTTAGATCATCTGTGTTTCTTGCTTGACACAGCTGCAGTTCCTGCACTCCCTGTAATACTGCTCCTCATCTGTGGGTTGCAAGCCTTGTCAAAAGGCGTGGGGAAATAGATGGGTCAGAAATTGGCTCCCGTTAAGAAGTCATTACCTGTGTCCATAGAAAGGTGTTGGCAACACTACCAGTTATCTGCTGTCCTCACCGCTTTGGTATTTAGGGTTCAGCTGTAATCTGAAGCTCAGCATGCACATATGAATGTACGAGAATACGTACAGGAATTCACATCACAGGCATGTTCCTCATATACCTCTCATATCTTGGTGACACTGTCATTTGACTTACAAAAGAGGAGGCCAGGAACAGCCCTTACCAGTAGAAGCCAGTTTTTTCCTAGTGGGAATGACAAACTGAAGGAGATTGTTTTGTAAACCATCTCTTCTCCCATTACAAGTTGTTAAGATCACTTCTTCCTCGAGGATTGTGCAATATTGAGTGTCTCTGTTGAACAAAAACTTGCTTGTGAGTGCCAGAAATGAGGTTAAACCTGTAACTGAAGTTTTTTGTGATGAGTCGTTGCATATTCCCCTTGCGGGATTAAAAGACCAACACTTTAAACCCCTGCAATACCCTGCAGTGTTGACTGTTGTGAAAACTCTCAATCTTCCCATCCCAGTGGTTTCCAAAGACGTTATAGGAAAGGGATCACAACCTCCCTTCTGTTCCTTCTGCTAATAAAATCCCTAAAATTCTGAAGTAAGTAGAGCTTGGATGTGGATCGTCTCATCTTGACACATTTTAATTATAGGTATCTTCCATTTCTTCTTTAGATGTTCCCTGTATTTTCTGTAGCCCAAGAGTTTAGCACACAGCACAATCCTTTGGAAAGAGAGACGTGTACTGTATGTGAACAGTACTACGACTATTTCTAGGTGACTCTGGTGAAAAACAACTCAATGAGGAATAACGGTGACTAAAAGCACAGTTATTACTTCATGTAGCGTTGGTGTAACAGGATAGAAGGAAGGCAGGCTTAAAGCATGTTGTGCATCTTCTGAGGCTTGAAAGAAAGAAGGCAAATCTGTGACCACCACATGTTTAAGAGAGCGGATGTTGCAGGCATTACATTAATAACTTTTGGAAGTGCAGCATGTGGGAGCTTGGTATTAACTTTAATAAGAGAGAATGCAAATTTCCTGTCTTTACTCTGAGATGGGCGGTAAAGTCATGATACTGTGAGAGAGGCAAGCATAGAGAGAACTGTGGGCCAGAATGCCTGTGAGAGATACCACAAAGGGAAAACTATTTAGGTTTAAAAAATGGTGCTGAGAGGGATTTATCTATTTATTTCCTGCTTGACTTTTACACCAAAAATAGATCTTCCCTATACCATAATGCCGCTGAAAACTAAGGACTTTACTTGTTGTAGGAGGCAAGACACTAAAAAGAGCCACATGAGCAGCAATGCAATATTTAGCCGGAATGTTTACCATTCATCGGTGTTTATTTTTGCAAATAACTGTTTAACTAGTGTGGCGCTTTGGAGGAAGAAATGCTTTGTTAAAGTACCAGTGCTGCATTCAAGCACATACCGTTTCAAACCTCAAAAACATTCTCCAGGAAAAAACGAAGGACAATTAAATTTAATGCTGATATTTATAAGGTAAAAACCGTGCGATTCAAAAATTCTTACCAAAAGCAAACAAATCTGTCCTTAGACTTACTAGTTTATATATCCTAAGAAAGTAACAGCAACAAACTCTAGACTCAGTGTTTAAAAAGTCCTTTGCAGATGCAGAGAGACATATGGGGAGCTTTGTCAAACATAGCAATGCCTTCAAAACTGTTGGGTGAGGTGAGGGGCCTAACAACACGCTAGCTGTGAGGAGCAATCCTCTACTGAACTTACTATTCAGATTCCTAGTTGTGTAACGTGGTATTTGCTCATTTTGCTGGTCGGGTCAGGATTCACTCGGAGCCAAGGAGCCTGACAAACATCTGCTTTTTCCAGGTCTGCGCTGGAACAGATTGTCACCCCGAAGCCCCAACATCTGCTCTGTGCAGAGGAACAGTTGTGGCGCCTGCTTGGTGCCAGAGCCTTTTAAAGGCACATTTCCCTGTGAAACGGTGGAGCCTGACAGCCTGTGTGGGAGTAGAAGTATTTGGGTCAGGTTTTGGAAAGGGAAGGCTGACTTCCAGTGATTTAATAAGGGTTTACTTCTCAGCTTTTGCTGTGCTTCCTCAAAAATGAAGTATGCCTATAGTAAGATTGAATTGACTTGGCTTTTTCGGTTTTTCCCCCCTGTGTTTTTCAATAGAGCCGCCCAGAAAGAGCTCATGCAATCTGCTGGAAACATGTCTTTCATCACAGAATCGTAAATTAATTTAGGTTGGAAGGAGACTTTGGAGGGCATCTGGTACATCTCCTCACCGAGAGCAGGGACAACTTTGAACTTGGATCTACCCGAGAAGAGAAATCAAGTGTTCTGGAGGGGGAAAACCTTAAATATGAGAGCTGCACCTGCAACAGTTTTTTCTGTATCTTGCCTGATTCTCAGAGCCCAGAGCGACTGGGCTGCTAGAGCGTATCTGTTCCAACAAAACCCACTGCTAAGTTAATTACAAAGGTCTCCTGTTGTAACTCGCTTTGCTAATTCTCAAGCAATTTCAAACTTATTATCTTGGCCTACTCTGGGTAAGACAGAAAAATAGGCCCAAATATAATTGACGCTTCATTACAAATTGGAGTGCTAATGACAGTCATGCAGATATGGGACACATTACATATTTTACCTTTATTAAATGATACTATTTTACATTGTGTGCTAAAACTTTGAAAAAAAACCCATGTAATTGCAAAGTGATATATCCAAATAACAGAGCAGATTATAAGTCTACTAAAAATGACTCTTACTAACATTCAGATAATGTCCTGAGAAAAAGTTGTTTATACCCTCGTTTAATTGAAAACGTCCATATGAAATACGCTGGAGCCTGAAATATCAGATTATTAGTGACTGTCACAGGAGGATTTAAGCACATAATTGCCTCCTTTAATTTAATTTTAATGGGGAAAAAAAGAGCGTGCTGCAGATGCTGCCCGACGGGATAGGCAGAGACCCATCTTTCAGAGGCAAGTGTCCGAGGCACTCGGCCTTGTGCGAGAGATGACCCGCTCGCTCGGGAACGAAAGCCCTGCAGCAGTAACACAGGAGTTATGACCCCCTCTCCCCCGCGCAC